CGTGAAACGTGCCATCGAAGCAGTTGTTGCATACGACCTTCATCATTTTCACGAGGTTTTCGCCGCAGAGTCTGATCATCGGTCCGGCGTCGGTATGTTTCGACATTGGCACCGCGTACAGGCTTAAGAACAGAGACGAGACGAGTACGGTAAACGTGACCGGTACGTGACTGATCGGCGACAACCTCTGGGGCATCTTTCCACTATCAACGCCACCTGAAAATCATTCATACTATAAGTACACCTTTGACCTGGAGGCAAACTAAAATCTTCTTACGACGAGGTCGCTCGTTAAAACGCATTTTGATTTCTGACAACGAAACTTGCGTATTTATGGCATGAACGGAAACAAAAGGAATCGTATTGATTTCCGAGTGATATGAATTGTGTTGGCAGAGAGTGTTTCAATGGCACTGGATGGCAGATGCGAAAAAAACTTCAAATATCGTACAAAACGTTACACTAACGACAAGTCGTTTAATGAATATCTTGCTTACCAAAAGAATATCATGTACTACCATGTCAGACTAGTTTTATTGACACAGAACAGAGCTAATGGAGAAGCGACAATCAAGCGTTATATTTTTAAGAACTGCTTCTGTTTAAATTCAAAATACTCAGCTCAGCTTAAAAATCTACTATGCTAAGCGGAAAATGGCGAATCAAAGCATTCGTCCGTTCGGCTTATTCTCACTGTGAGAGCCCCATGCAAGTTCACACTTTTTCGGTCGTTTCAATCCTTCGATGACACTTCCTGACGAGTGGTTGTTCCGTAGATTCGCAGACCATTCGCGCCACTAGTCCTCGTTAACTGTTGTTGATGTCCCCGGACGTCCGTTGAGGCCTGCGAATTCACAGGAGAGGAATACTTTCTGTGGTCCTGGCCACGGATGGATGTCATTAGCAAATGACGGGCAGCACCACAGTGTCGACCTGTTGCAGCGAGTTGCTGCACTCACCTCAGCAAGGTAATAAAAGAACTGATTAATGAAAAACTCCTAAGCTAGTTTCCCGCAGGTTTTCCACTGCGGTCCAGCTACAAGATTCACATTCGCCAGGTCGACCTGGCTGTTTCGACATTTGTGTCTGATCTCTTTTCGCGCATTATGGAAAATTGGAGTCGCTGAGGCGATCTGCCTCTCCTCTCGCGTGACCGGTTGCGCCAACCGCGTTTTAGATGTTCAGGTACAAATACCTTTGAGGCGAAGAAATTCGATTTTCGCAATCAGTACAGGAGTGGGAGAGACAATGAAACCTCAGACAAATAGTCGGGCTGTCTTCTCAGTAGAAACACGCAAATCCTTTGTTGAACTGCACTGCGTAAATCTACCTTTCAGATAGCGTAACAGTGCTGGCCTTTGTCGAAGGCATTTCAGCGAACGTCACTGGCAAATTCTGTCAATCAGTCAGTTAGTTTCGATGACTACTAAGCATGATCGTAGACAGAGGCGCTTCTGCAACGTTTCTCATGCTGTGTCAGCGTTGGAGCCTCGGCAGAACAGGGCTCCAGTATACAGCAGAGTTTGTCCACACACTTGCCCCAGGACATTCCATAGCAAAACCGGGGGTCTTCGGTCGGTGGGTCAGTGTAGCTGTTCAGAAGCGTAGAAGAAGTAGCCGTTTCGCCTTCGCATGTGACGGCATTCGTAAGACCTGCCCAGACCACGCTACGGTGACTTCTCAATCAGGAGAAGCCGAGGCTGCACATCAAGACTCGCCCGGATATCTGTGCTTTGAACCATGTCGAGATGCGTGTGGCCAGCGATTTGTCCCAGAAAGCCCATTTCAACCGCTAGTATCCGGGATTGGTGTTTTCAGCCATGGTCCACGACTCATCGCCGTAGGTAAGCATGGGATAAAGATCGACTTGAACACGAAAGGTTTAGTTTTCAGACTCAGCTCTGCTCTGGTCACATCAGATCGAGCCAGATTTCGTCGATTCCCATTTCTTTACCACTTTCAAACTTACTACAGCTTCTGTGACTTCGTCAGCTAGAAGACATACCCACAACATACTACTTTTTACTTTTTGCTGCGGCAGCTCATGATTAAGTAATTCCTGAAGGTATTCTCGCCACCACTAAGCTATATCGTTTTCGTTGGCAAAAAAAAATGCATCTGATCTTGTCCTTCTGAACTCTCAGACTACCTGCCTTGCATATAAGAGACAGCGGATGGTTTGCCGCCTGGATATTCAGCTCCATCCCATCATTGAACATGGACTGAGCAACTTAACTTGAGCAGGACAAGCAATTTTGGGCAATTATTTATGCAACAAGCTGCGACAGCCAATTTCATGCAGCTCACTCAGCTTCGAATGTTCTGTACTTCTCTCGGTGAAGCTGGCTCACCGCTACGGGGCAACTGTATCACGTGAAATAGTTATTATGATAGGAAGCCTAAAGAAGTTTACAAAAAATCCATGCATGCAGTGAAATCTGCAATGGGAAATAACATGCAGTTAAATGGTATTTTAGGTTATGTTTCCATAACTGTGAGGACGTCTCAAGAACTTCAATCCCTCGACTAACAGGTCAATGATAACCAGTTGACGATGCACCTTATCCTCTTGGGAAGAAAGTCTGAATGAAAGAAATTTGTTTCAATACTAACTTCGACCTCATGACTGGAATTCAGCATCATTATTAATTTCTAAGCAAAGCATGCGGAAATCTTTCATCCGTTCTTCCCACCCTCTAAGCAGAGAATGAGAATCGTCGCCTAAACATCTATTATCACAAAATGGGGAGAGATGTGTGGTTGAAAATCGTCGCCCGAAGTTCAGCCTCATGCCTTCGATTGTTCAAAGACAGTGGATTCAACTGGCTGTTCGTCGAAAAGTGCAACATGGAGTTCGACGTTCATGTCGTTTTTCCAAAAC